TACAACAAAAGACTCACCCGTGGCTTTGGACAGTCACTCTATCAGACTGCCTCACTTACTCAGGCAACAGCTCCTGCATCCTTTCAGCATGCGGATCAGGTCGCCCTGCTTCCTCCGGAGGCCAAGTGAGTGCTGGGAAAGCTTTTATGGTGATCAGCTGGAACCAGCTCCTCTTTCAGTATTTGGCAACAGATACCAACACCTGTGAGATTACACAAGTGTAACCATTCCTGGTCTTCCCCCACTGGTGCTTCTAATAGGGCTGATCTCCAGCCTGTTGCCAGGTCAGATTCCTGCAGCCCAATCACAGGTTCCCATTCTACTTGAGAGGTGGAGGGGAGGGGGCAGAATTGGGCTAGAAAACTCAGTTTTGGAAAAGCCTAGGCTCAGAATATACCCGTCATGAGAATCCAAGCAACAGCACTAAATCCCCGGGGAAAAATTTAGGTCAAGCTTTTCATAGAAATGATGCTGATCTTACAGTTCAAATTATGCAGGTTATACATTAAAATCAAGAGAAGAGCTCCTAAAAGAGTGGAGGAAATGGTATTTGTTCTCAGGCTACTACAGTACAAGGAATGTGCACTCTTGGGCACGGGCAAAGCTTCAGAAAATGAACAGTGGGAGCACTGAAGCCCATTGCTTCCAATTACTTACACCAGAGGCCATAAACTTCCCTCTTATTTAACAGGGAATTACAAATTTAGATCAACTTTTCTTAAGAAAATTCACATAGAAATGTAGATTTCAAGACCTAAAAACCAAAGCAAAACAAACCAAGAGAACTGGCCTCCTGAACTGACACCACCACGGGACAACAGTTGCAGTCAAAGAGCCAGCGGGCTCCTTTGCAGGGCACAGCCTCCCCTGTCCTCCTGTCCCACTATCTGCAGGATGCATGCAGATTTCTGTGCCCCTCCGGTCACCAGAGGCCTCTGCATCTCCCTCCTTCTCACCCTGGGTCTCCAAAAGCCTTAGGGTGAGTGGGTGACATTTACAAATGGGGGCTTTGGTGAAGTCGGTATACAAGAGCAGACAATCCTTGGTAATGGTGAAAGGCCTTCAAAAGTCACCCAGCAGCGAAATAAGGCCAACTGGGAGGGTTCTCAGCAGATAAAACCAAACCATTCTGAAAAAGCACCAGAGAGAGGGATGCGCTCAGTTACTAAGCAATGTTCACCCCCGATTTCTCAGTACCTATTTTTGTCTTTGAAGTTCAGAATGACTTAATTTACAAATGTAATAAAGGAGGAGGGAATTATTCACTTAGTATAGTGCGATGGAGACAAATCTGGGCTTTATGTGACAGTATTGTTTGAACTCTTATGAAGTTTATATTACTTTTTTTTTTTTTTTGCAGAACCAGGGATCAAACTCAGAACTTTATACTTGCCAGGCAGGCGCTGGTGCCACTGAGCTAAACCTCTGGCCCAAAGTTTATATTACTTTAGTAGCTATGAAAACACCAAAGCTATGACTAAGAGAAAGCTGAAATATAAATTGCAGTATTAGGGAAATTACCACACAATAAGTATGTGGAAATATTTTTCTTTCTATTCCATAGCCCCTTTTCTAATCCAGGTGACTTTGTTATAAATGAGAGCTTGATTCTATTATTTAGGGCTCTTTTGCAATGCAGCACAACTTGAAAACCGAACACAATTATTAGAAGTCAGTGTGTGTGGGTTGGGTGGGGTATGGATTTCACTTGGATCCCTATCCTGTTACCTTCTTTCTACCTAAGTGACCTTATGCAAGGTATTAGAAATCTCAGCTGGGTGTGGTACCACATGTCTGTAATCCCAGCACTGGGAGGTTGAGACAGGAAGATCACTGCAAGTTTGAGACCAACCTAAACTATACAGTGAGACCCTGTCAAGAGCCAGTCTACATAAATTTTGGGGAAACAATTATTTAATAAAGTATGACTATAGTTGTCTAAGCCAATGTCACCTTGCCCGAGAGCCAGCCATGGCATGTGGAAACATAACTCCGTTTTGCCTCCAATCACAAGTTGAGGCCTCAATGGTCTCGTGATACTGTGATGCAAAAGGGCAAGAGTACATCAGCTGAAGACATCCTGGTTCTTTGAGAACCAAGTAATAAAAAAAGAGAAAAGTTTCACCTGGGGAAGGACAAATTCTTTATTAGCCTGCTATCTTGTCCCACCTACTATTATAAGAATGCTCTCCTTACCTCCCTCATCAACATAAAATCCTCAGTGACTTAAGGTGCTCATCAACATAGGATTATCACCACCCCTAAGTCACTCGAGACTCCCTCCAATTATTGTGTGTACCCAATAAATAGTGGCTAGCTCAGAGTGTCTTTGTCTTTGCCCACTCTGAGGCACTGACCTGGCTCCCTTTCTAGGCAATCAGAGAATTGATCACCCTCTAATAAGGTCCTGTCTAAAAAAAAAGTTAAATTAAATCAAATTAAAATTTAAAAATTAAAATCTCTATGCCTTCATTTCCTTATCTATAAAATGGAAATAGTAATAGCATCTGCTGAGCAAATACATGTAAAGTGTTTAGAATAGAGCCAGACATGCAGTAATTATTCAATATATGTTGATCCTGATCATTCAAAAGAGAATTTACCTGTCTAAAAGATTCACCACTGATTTCTATTAAGTACCTATCTTCCTTGTTGCTATTTTGTTTTGTCTTGTGTTTTTTGGGGGGTGGGGTTTTGGCGCTGCTGCAGAAAGAACCTCAGGCCTCATCCCTGACAAAGCACTGTATCACTAACTGAGCTACGGTTCCAGACAATTTGTTGAATTTTTTCAACAAATTAAAAGTATTTCACCCACAGATATTCAGCACAATGTCTTTTATAACAATTTAGATATGAGTATAAAGAAAAATGGATGAGGTTCTGAAGTGAAGGTAGGTCTCCTTATATGGGTAGTTAAGATATAATTTTAATGTCCAAAATTCTGAAATAAAGCAAGCAATTCCAGCTCACTTATGCTCAATTCCAATACATCTCTGTCGTCATAGGGCCATTATAGCAGGTAGGGAAGAAGATGGACAAAGGGAGCAGTGTGGGTGGGGGCGCCCAGGACAAGGGCAGGCTAAGGAGAACAGAAGAAAGAGGCCCCTGTCATCCAGTGGTCTTGTCCTATAGACTCAGTGAGCACACAGCCAGGTCGGGGATGAGGAGAGTGCATCAGGATACCCTAGAATTAAGACAGGAGGTAGGAAGGAACTGTTCCCATCCTACATGGGCACTTGGAGTGACCACAAAACAATGGGCCAAGAGAGGACCACAGTATGAATTTTCTAGGCTGTAGGCACTTTTGCCTTTGTGGGGACCCTTCTTTCACCAAATTTTATGTTTATGTTGGAGATTAATAGAGATTAATATATTAATATTCTACCTAAGTTCATTTTTTTCTCCTGATTTTAAAAGAAATTAAACATTTGTTGTACCCTAAAAAGCATTTGGGGCCCTAGTATACCTACTGACTGCGGTGGATGGATAAGGGGAGTGGGCACTGTTTGAAGTAGATCCTTAAAGCGATAATCAGACTAATTTTGGAACGGGAGATTCACAATTGACTGCTTTTCTGGGTCTCAGCTGACCGAGGCCTCAAACTGAATGCTTTCAGCCAGCCCAAGCAGAAAACAACTGTGGGTAGCGCGCCCTCTTCAGGTAGTAGGTGTGGACGCGCCAGCTCTCCAGTTCTGGTTGACAGCCCTGGGCTCCCTCCCCCAAATTCCTTCAAGAAAATGCAGAGTGACTGTTGAACACACACCTGCAACATTAAAGTCCGCCGTGAACCACTGCTGCCAGTTATGACTGGCACAAAACAGAGGACAGATGACTCAGCAGAAGTCAACAGTTTAAGGACAGCCTTGGCGTTTTGCACAAGAATTTAGCATCCTAGGAAAGAGGCGAAAAGCCCACCCGTGTTCTGGAACAGCCAGCAAGATGCAACCCATCTCCGTAGTAATCGGGCACCAGAGAAGAGTTGAAACTAGCGATCTTCAGTCATTCTAAGGACAGAATGAAGGTTTTTGCAAGTTTTGCATGAATGAAGAATGTCATGGAAACGTGACCACAATATGCTCAACTCTAACACCTCTGATTCCACTCTGACATAAGATTCTATTTACTACTTGGTGGGCAGCAGGTTTTACTTTGAACACTGTACTGAGCTTAACGTAGCAACTGGGCTAAATGTTTTTTCATAACAAACTTAGTGAGTGGGCATTGTTCCATTCCACAAATGAGAAGCCTGACATTACAAGGCGTGATCAACACGTGCAGTGAATTACATTTTTTAAAAAATGTATTACAGTAAAAGATACATTGCCATTAATCTCCCTCTAGATACTCTCCTGCTTCAAACACATTGCTCCCATTCTTCTTGCTACTTTTTGAAGCAGTTCTGGAAATCCTCTTTGCAGGTGAGATTTAAAAAAAAAAGTGAGTGTGTTTTCCAGGTGTGATTAAAAACCACAGTGAATGCTGCTGTGAAGTGTTATCCAACAGAAAGGCAGGTTTGTAAAAACATGACAGTGCTCTCATGCACCTTGTTCACCAGATCCGGAAATGTGCCGCTTCTGGGTCTTTCCCAAAGTCAAAATAACCCTGATAGGTAAATGTTTTTAATCGGTTCAAGACATCTAGGCAGCCACAACAGTGCAACTAAAGACACTCAGAAAAGAGGACCTCCTGAATTGCTTCATAAAGCGACGAGATGGATGGAATGAGTGTGTTCGAAGACAGGGTAAGAATTAATGGGATTAAGGGGAATTAATGGCACTGTGTCTTTTACTGTAATAAATTTTTAAAATGTAAACATTCACCGTATTTTTTAACCGCATCAGGTAAGTAACTTGCCCAAGGTCACACACCTTCTTAGCAAGCGATTCTGTTTGGATCCGAGTCTGTCTCCAAAGGTGGTTCAGTTGATGGAGGGGACCCCTAGACCCACACCCTGAAGGGCATCCACGAAGCGGAGCGCAGAGCCCCACTTCGCCCCCAGAAAACCATCGCCCCAGACCCAGAGACCATGACCTCGGCACCAGCGCAACTAGGGGCCAAGCACAATTTCTGGGCAGGGGATCCCGGACCTGGCCCATGTAAGGGGGGTTAGGGCGGTGTTCCCACAGAGTGCTGCTTCTCACCTGCAACCAGGTGCAGAGGGATGAGCGCCCGAGATTGGCAAAGGTGACGGCGGTCCCCAAGTGGCTGTCACTGCCCTCCGCCCCCATCCGCGGCCCGGCCTTCCACAGAAGGAGGTCGCGGACAGCGCAGCTGCGCAGCGCCGGGGACGAGGTCCAGGGCCCCGTGCCGCAGGAAGGGGGCGCTGTCGAGCGTCCCGGCCCCTCCCGCCGCCCTGCGCGTTCCCGCGTCCCCGCGCTCCCGTGCGCGCGCGCTTGCCGGCCTCTGGCTTCCCCCGGCTGTCGCCGTCAACGCCGCCCGGGCCATGGCGATCTGCTTGCGGCTGCGAAGCTGCAGGGCCGCGGGCCTCCTCCGCCCGCGCCCAAGCCAGGCTCGCCGCTTGGCTGGGGGCCTCTCGGGCCTCTCCCCCGCGCTGCTGCGCACCGACAGCTTCGTGGGCGGCCGCTGGCTGCCCGCTGCCGCCACCTTTCCGGTGTACGACCCGGCCAGCGGCGCCGCGATGGCCTCGGTGGCGGACTGCGGGGCGTCCGAGGCCCGCGCCGCTGTGCGCGTCGCCCACGAGGCCTTCTGCAGCTGGCGGGGCGTCTCGGCCAAGGTGAGCGCTGGGGCGGGGAGCCAGCCCAGAGCACACTGCGCACAGCGGGCCGAGAGAAAGCAGACAAGTAGGGAGCATCGGCTGTGCCCTGCCTGCAGGCCTCAAGTGTACTGGGCCACGGCGGGGCACGTGGTCCGAGGGAGAGCAGCGTGAGCGCCACCCGGCCTGACCTGGCGCGAGTGTGACCGTGCAGGGGTGGGGGTCGTGTCAGAACTCGGAGGGAGCAGGTGTGCACTTTGGCAGGGGAAGGGAGAGGTCCAGATGGTCCCCTAGGTTTCGACCTGTAGGGACCAGGTCTGCCCTTTACTGACTTTGGGAACAAGGGAGATATGGGGCCTGCAGAGGGAGGACCAAGTAAGAAGCAAATGAGGCAAGAAATACTCTTCCTTCATTTATTGCACCTGGACTACCGCAGTGACATCTTGGCCTCTGCAGTGTTCAAGGCCGCTTTCTGGAGCTATCCAGCAGTGATAGAGTACAAGTACCAGAGAGTCCTGATCGTCATCCACCCGCAGATGTGTGCTGTGCACCTGCTGTCCCCCGTGCATTCTTGAGGGTGCTCGGGACTCTGTCCTTAGGGAGCCCGTGTGGGCAGAGCAGGATAGAGGGGAAGACCCAGACTATGAACAGCATAGTGCCCAGGCAGATGGGTATGTGAGAGGTGAACTCTGGGAGGGACAGGAGGCAGAGGCAGGGAAAGGGGGTCAGGGACAGAGGCGAGGGGCGAGGTGCTGTGGTATGGTGTGGTCGGGTATAGGTGGCTAGGGAGCCACAACCAAGAACCGCAGACAGAGTGGCATAAAACACAGAAGTCTGTTTTCCCAAATTAGGGAGGCTGGAAGTCTGAGGTCAATGTCAGTAAGGTTGGTTTCCTGGCCTTATGACTGAAGATCATCTCTTTGTGTATTTGTGTCCCAATCTCCTCTTTTTATGTAATCTTTTTTTTTTTTTTTGGTACCGGGAATTGATCTCAGGGCCTCATGCTTGCCAGGCATGTCCTTTGCCACTGAGCTACATCCTCTTTTTATAAGGATGCCAGTCACACTGGATTAAGGCCCACCCCGGTGTCCTCTACTTAGCTGACTGCTTCAGAGGCCTTGCCTCCAAATACACTCTGCACTGCCCACTCACTTGGTGTGGGGTTAGGACTTCAGCTGTAAGTCTGTGAGGGGACACTCTTTAGCCCCTAACATCAAGGCGGGCCTCGCTGAGGACATAAGACACAAAGACCAAGAAGATGAGGCTCTCTGTGCCGCCATAAACACGGGTGTGCATATATTGCTCTGGTATGATGCTTTTAATTCTTTCGGAAAGATACCAAGAATAGCTGGGTCAAATAGAACCTCTAGTTTTAGTTATTTGAGGAATCTCCCCCACTGATTTTCACAGTGGTTGCACCAGTCTACACTCCCACCAACAGTGGAACAGTGTTCCTTTTCCCCTACAGTCCACCAGCATTTGTTATTGATTGATTTCTTGATAGCAGCCATTCTTTCTGGAGTGAGATGGAAGCTCAGTGTTGTTTTAATGTGCATGTCTTGAATGACCGGTGGTATTGAACATTTTTTCATAAATTTAGTTGCTGTCTTTACTACTTCATCTGAAAAGTGTCTGTTCATTTCAGATGCCCACATTTAGACTGTCTTTAAAATTGGGGTGGGGGTTAAGTTCTTTATATAAACTAGATAGTAGTCTTTTGTCTGAGAAACAGCTGGCAAAAATTTTCCTACAATGTGGGTTGTCTCTTCACTCTGTTGGTGGTTTCGCTTGTTGTGCAAAAGCTTTTTAATAAGATGAGATCCCAGTTGATTCTTTGTGATAGTTCCTGTGCGATCAGGGTTTTGTTCATAAAGTCTTTGTCTACACTAACATCTTCAAGAGTTCTACCTATTTTATCTTTCAGCAGATTTTGTGTTTCTGTTTTAATATTTAGATCTTTGATACATTTCAATTTTAGTTTAGTGCATGGTGAAAGATATGGTTCTAGTTTTAATCTTCAGCAAGTGGAAAGCCAGTTTTTCCAGCACTGTTTATTAAAGAGGTTACCTTTCTTCCAGAGAAGGTGTTTGGCTCCTTTGTCAAAGATAAGGTGGCTGAGTGTGTCTGGAGTTGTTTCTGTATTTTCTAATCTGTTCCATTGATCCTCAGGTCTGTTTTTTTTGCCAGTACCATGCTGTTTTTTTATCATAGTAGCTTTGTAGTATAATTTCAAATCAGGGATTGTGATGCCCCCTGCCTTGCCTTTGTTGCCCAAAATAGCCTTTGTTATTCTAGGTCTCTTCTGGTTCCAAATGAATTTTAAGATTGTATTCTCTAATTCTGTGAGATATGCTGTTGGAATTTGGATCGAGTTTGCATTAAATCTGTATAACAATTTTGGAAATATGGCCATTTTCACTTTATTGGTTTTTTCTACCCAAGAACAGGGATATCTTTCTGATATCCTCTTTGATCTCCTTTTTCAGAGTACTGTAGTTTTCAATGTACAGGTCTTTTACTTCCTTTGTTAGATTTGTTCCTTGGTATTTAAGTTTTTTGGATGCTAACTTGAAATGTGTTGTTTCCCTAATTTCTCTCTCAGTGAGTTTGTTATTTATTTACAGGAAGGCTATTGATTTCTGAGTGTCAACTTTGTATCCAGCTGCACTACTGAATTTAGTTATTAAATCTAGAAGTCTTTTGTTGGAGTTTTTGGGGTTTTTTATGTAGAGTATCATCTCACCCACAAATAATGATAACTACTTCCTTTTCTATCCTTATTCCTTTTATTTCTTCCTCTCATCTAATTGTTCTGGCTAATATTTCCAGAACTATATTGAATAAGGGTGGTGACAGTGGACATCCTTGTCTTGTTCCTGATTATAGAGTAAAAGCTTTCAGTTTTCATCCATTTAGTATGATGTTGGCTGTTGGTTTGTCATAGATGGCTTTTGTCAGATTGAGATAAAAACCATCTCTTCCAGTTTTCTATAGAGTTTTTATCATGTATGAATGTTGGATTTTGTCAAATGCTCTTTCTGCATCTATTAAGATGATCATATGTTTTTTGTTCATGGCTCTATTAATATAGCGTATTACATTTATTGATTTGCATATGTTGAACCATCCCTGCATCCCTCGGATGAATCCTACTTGGTCATGGTGTTTAACATTCTCGATGATTTGCTGCATTCTGTTTGCCAGTATCTTTTGAGGATTTTTTGTGTCTATATTCATTAGAGAGATTGGCCTATAATTCTCTTTTTTGGTTGGATCTTTCTCTGGTTTTGGAATCAGGGTAATTCTTGCTTCCAGGAATGAATTTGGGAGTATTGCTTCCCTTTCAATTTCATTAAAGAGTGTGAGAAGTAGCAGCATTAGGTCTTTAAATTTCTCGTAGAATTCAGCAGTGAATCCATCAGGGCCTGGGCTTATCTTTGTTGGTAGGTTTTTAATTATATCTTCAATTTCATTGACTGATGTTGGCTTATTTAGAATTTTTATATCTTTTTGGTTCAGCTTTGGTAATTCATACATATCCGGGAATCTGTCCATTTCTTCTGTGTTTTCCATCTTATTAGAATACAGGTTCTTGAAGTTGCTATTGCTAGTCTTCTGGATTTCTCCAGGATCTGTTGTGATTTCACCCTTTTCATTCCTAATTGCATGGATTTGAGTCTTTTCTTTCCTTTTATTAATAAGGTTGGCTAAGGGTTTATCAATTTTATTTAATCTTTCAAAGAACCAACTCTTTGATTCATTGATTCTTTGTATTGTTTTCTTAGTCTCCATTGCATTAATTTCTGCTCTAATCTTTATAATTTTCTCCCTCATATGAACTTTGGTTTGACTTGCTCTTCTTTTTCTAGAAGCTTAAGGTTCAACATTAGGTTATTTGAGCTCACTCTGTTTTCCTGATATGGCTATTCACTGCTACTGCTATAAATTTCCCTCGTAGGACTGCTTTCATTGCATCCCATAAGTTCTGGTGTGTTGTATTGGCATTATCATTTAATTATAGAAATTGCCTGATTTCTTTAATTTCATCTGTGACCCATTGGTTGTTCAGAGGGGCATTATTTAGTTTCCATGTATTTATGAAGTTCTTGTGGTTTCTTTTGCCATTGATTTCCAATTTCATTGCACTGTGGCCGGATAATATGCATGGGATAATTTCAATTCCTTTGCATTTACTTAAGCATGTTCTATGAGTTAGTATGTGGTGTGTTTTGGAGAGCATCCCATGTGCAACTGAGAAAAATCTGTATTCTGATATTGTGTGGTGGAACACTCTGTAGACATCTACTAAGTCCATTTGTTCAAAAGTTTGGTTGAGTTCTAATATTTCATTGGTTTTATGCCTAACTGACCTGTCTATTTATGACCGGGTATTGAGATCCCTCCAGGGGGATTACTGTGGAGTGTGAAATACAGGAGACAGTGACAACCCAGGACTTTTGGCCTGAGCCGCTGGAAGGATGGCTCTGAGATGGGGAGAGCTGGGGGTGGGGCCACACTGGGTGACGTCGGAGTCAGCAGTGGGCTCGGAGTTGTCCCTTAAACACACAGGTGTGAGGATGTGAAGGCAGTGGTGGGCTGTTGAGCTGGAATTTGCACGTGAGATGAGGAGGTTGTGTGTTCTTCACATGTCCTCAGCTGTGGGTGGGGTGAAGAACTCCTGGGAAGGAGAGCCTCGCACCTCTGGTGTCATTTCACGGTCTCAAGAGGGCTCACAAGGATTGAGGCCTCCCCAGGGCCAGGGATCTTCTCAGGGAAACTTCCCTCTTGAAAGGAGGGGTTCTTGGATCCCGGGTCATCATACTGGGATGGGTGCCACCAGCCCCCTGAGGGTCCCCCACAGGTGGGAGATGGTGGGGCCATCGGCAGAGACATGGTGAAGGCCAAGGAAGGCAGCTCTTGAGTCACCCGGTTTTGGGCCTCTAGGGCTCCAGGGTCTTTCTCACGCCTGTTTTCCTCTCACTCCTCTAAGCCCATTTGCCCCGTCTGCTCCTGCAGGCAACCCAGGAAAGAGGCAGTGAAGCTCAGTCTGCCACAGACAGAACAGCTCTAGCAAAGGGCATTTCATTTCATGGGGTTTCAAGGGGGCTTCAGTCATTACTCATGTTTTTCTCCTTGAAAGGCACAGGGGTCTCAGACAGGTGGAGTTTAGCTATTGTGCACGTGTAAGTTTAAGCACAGGCCAAACTGAACCGTGTTGTGTCTGCACCATGGGAGGAGATTTTATTGTGGAAATGCATTGTATGCCGAAGTTTAGGCTCAGGTCTGTGCCCGTCTCTGCCCTGGTGTCATCTGGTAAACCCACTTTCTCAAGGACACAGCCTCTTGCTCGCTGAATTCATGCTCTGGTTTACTTCTCAGCTCTCACCGCCAAGAGTGGCAGCTGCTCCTTTCCTCTCAGACTGCTACTTCCAAGTCCTGCCAGTCCCCACCTGTCTCACAATGACACAAACTGAGTCAAGACCCACCCTAAGGAGCTCATTTTATCTTGGTTACCTCTCTTGTGACCCTGTCTCCAGTTAAGGTCCCATTCTGAGGCATTGAGTGTTAGACTCCTCCACGTTTGGGGCAGATGCATTTCCACCAGATCTTTGCACATGAGGGCTTTGCACACTATGGTAACTGGCAGCAGCTCTTCGTTATACATCCAGCTTGGACACTATCTTCTGCCCTCTGAGAGAACATTTTTATCCTAACACTTCCCACGCCATTTCACATCCTCTCTCCTTCTTTCTCAGACTAAACATGGGCTCTGTGTGGTGCTTTATTCTATTCATCTCCCCAGACATCTGAGCCTGCCTCCTAGGTTTTACTGTCTGTCACTCACCCAGGGCCACCGTGGTCCTCTGGCCTGTGTCAGCAGAGGCCTCACTGTTCTTACATGGAAGGAAGGTAGTCAAATGTCCTTACTGAGAAGGATTTTTTAAAGATGCCAATGCCTCTTCTTGGGGGTGTGGAATTTACTTCATCATCTCCCTGAGGGGAGAAATGTATCTTGTTAGCCTGGCCCTGGGAAGGGAAGTATCTGCAGGAAGCCGCTTGTGGTATGGACTGCACATGGGCTCTCTGCTCATGATGGAGCGAGAGACTCAAGAAAGTCTTAGACCTCTGAATGGATGAAACTGTCAGGACAGGCCAGCCTTGCTCTCTGCAGGGGCAGTCCTCAGGCAGGTGAGGGGAGCCTGTCTCCTCTACACCTTGGGCACACCTGTGCGGGTGTGGGTGTGGGTATGGTGCCCTAGGGTGCATCTCTCCTCAGCATCCCTCTGTGCTGCCTTTTTGGCCTGGAGTCTCCAACCCTCTTCTGTTTTCCAAGTGGATTTTTATATAAATGACTTATTTTTATTTATTTATTTTTGCAGGACTAGACTTTGGACCCAGGGCTTTCGCACTAAACCACATCCGTAGCTTTCTCTTATTTTAAGACAGGGTCTCACTGAGTCACTAAGTTGCCCAGGCTAGACTCAAATCCTCCTGCCTCAGGCTCCTAGAGTGCTAGGATTAGAGGGGTGTGCCATCCCTGCCAAGGGAAAATAAATTATTTTCTAAAGGTTTAAATTAACTTTTAGAAGATATTTCTTCCATAATATTCTTAATAATCCAAATTATTCCTTTAGGTGTTTTCCAGTCTTTGAAAAAAATTTTAATTGTGGTAAAATATACATATAGTTCACCACTTTATCCATTTCTAAGCGTGCAGTTCCATGGCATTAATGGACATTCACATGCTTATGCCTGAGCCTGCTCCTTAAGTGTGTCAGACCCTCTTTTTATGCCTCACACACATCCCTAATCTCCACCCTGGTCTGAGGTACAAATGCAGTTTGACAGCAAGTTGTTAAAATAGGGAACGATACCTGAGGGCTTTGTTTTGGGTGAAATAAGCCAGTCACAGAAGGACAAATACTTGCTTGAGGTACCCAAGCTGTCAAATCCAAGTAGAAACAGTGCTTTTCCAGGGCTGGGCAGGACGGGAGGGGGGAGATACTGCTTAACAGGGGTGGTCTTCAGCTTCGCCAGGGAAAGGTCTGGGATGGATGGTGGCGGTGGTTGTGCAGCACTCTGAATGTTCTTAGTGCCATCAACTGTACACTTAATGCTTAGGGTGGTAAAGTTTGTGTTAAGTGGATTTTACCACAAGTTACTAAAATAATTTTTTAAAATAGGAAACTATCATCTTACTTGGTGAAATCAGAGTTATTCTTGTTTGCCATAAACAGTAGCTGTTTCCACAGAACTTCTTTTCTCTCTCACAGTTTATGACTCGGTACATTCCATTAGCTATTGTTACCATATGCGTCAAGCTCCTGATCCCTCAAACATCCAGGAATGAAGTTGGGAACCAGAGGAGGAGGCCAGGAGACTGTTTGCTGGAAAGGAGAACAGCTCCAGATTTCCAAGAGGGATCCTGAGTGGGTGGCCAAACAGCCCCTTGATCCAGAGCTAATTATACAGGAGTGGAGCATAGAAATTGCTCCATGGTTTACTGGTCACTTACCACAGGTGGCTGGGCAGATTGAAAATGACCAAGTAGAACTCAAGCTGTCTAACCCAGATCTTCAATGTGTAGGGTTTAAAGGAAACTGGAATTTTAGAGGGGAAAAAATACCTGGTTATTTTGCATTTTAAGTTCCTCGCAACTCAGGAGCTTATTGAGGAGTGGCTGCAACTTCCTTTAGTAGGGAGAGGGCTGCATTCCATGCTTGGGTCCATGAACCAAGTTCATTGTTGGTTAAAAGTCCTAGTTCACTGTCTATTTTTCCTTTAATTCTTTTTTTTTTTTTTTTTTTGGTACCTGGGATCAAACTCAGGTCCTTGAGCTTGCGCAGCAGGCGGCGAAACCACTGAGCTAAATCCCCAGCCCTTTCTTTTAATTCTTAATGTGGCTTGTCACCCATCTGTATCTCAGGCTCTTTCCCTAGCTAGCTGCCTTACTCATAAGCTAACTAAACTATTTTCTACACTACAACTTGTTAGTCTCTGTTACTACTTATCAAAGGAGGTCAACCTATTACTACCCAAGTGAGTCACTCATGGTTCTCCAGAGAAACAGAACCACGAGGGTCTGTAGATTTACGGGAAGAGATTTCTTCAGGGAATTGGCTCACGAAATTACAGAAGCTGAGAAGTCCCACAAACGGCCATCCACGGCTGGAACCCTGGGGCAGAAGTTCTAGCCAGCATCTGAAGGCCTGAGAACTAGGAGCGCCACCCAAGGGCAGGGGAAAGGATGCTCAATCAAGGAGCAAATTTGCCTTTCCTTCACCTCCTTGCTTAATGCACTTGCATTGGTGAGGGTGAATTTCTTTACTGTCTACCAATTGAAATGCTAATCTCCTATAAAAACCTCACAGACACCCCCCCAATTTTCCCAGCTATTCCATAGCCTGCTGAAGTGACACCTAAAATTAACTATCCCTCTAAGAATGAGACCACAGAGCTAATATTTTAGGAAAACAAGGATTATGGAGTAGTCTGTCATATACTTCATACTTCACTACTTCTCTGCTTTGTCATGTGTTTTTTAGGAGAGGAGTTCATTACTTCGGAAGTGGTATGATTTAATGATGCAGAATAAGGATGACCTTGCCAAAATTATCACAGCTGAGAGCGTAAGTTTCAGATCTTTGCTTGCTACCCTGAGAAATTGTCCCAGAATTTTGGAAAGCCTCTAACTTCCTGGCAGTGTTGTTCTGTACCTGAAGAATGTGTGAATCCTTGTACAATGATCAGATACCAAATCATTGTTGTGCCAGGCAGTCCCATTTGCTAAAACGTAATTTGCATGTTTTAGTTTATTCTTTACTAATATGCAAAAATAGGTTTGTTTGGAACTGTATGAACACTGCTTTTCACCATCCCAGTTTTTTTCTCTGTGACTGTTTTGATCTTTCATATTACTTTTGTACAATATTAAAATGCACCCACAGTTACTCCATAGTTACAACAAATGATTTTAAACCATGCTTCAACATTTAGGACAGCTTAGAAGGAGGAGAAAAAAACATTAGAAGATGAAGTGCTAGGGGTCCCCTAACTTGTGAACTCATTGGGAATGCAAATGACTCTGTGACTTAGGTGATACAGCCATACTTATCTCCGTCATTGTTTGTAATTCTGCTTCTTTTTCTTTTTCTTTTTTTTGTGCCAGGGATCGAACTCGGATCCTTGCGCTTGTGAAGCAGGCGGTGGAACCACTGAGCTAAATCCCCGGCCCTGTAATTCTGTTTTCTTATACCTACAACTAAATTAGAAATTTTCCAACAGCCCTGTGAGTTCTAAATGGGAGACTTTTCTACTCTTCTCGCAGCCTTGAAGAATTTAGAAACACAGTTCTGCCTGTGTTCCTAGAAGTTAATAAATGTGTCCTTTTCTGATTTAATTTAGGGGAAGCCACTAAAGGAGGCACAGGGGGAGATCCTCTATTCGGCCAACTTCCTGGAGTGGTTTTCAGAGGAAGCTCGCCGCATTTATGGAGACATTATCTCTACCCCCGCCAAGGAAAGGCGGGCCCTGGTCCTCAAGCAGCCCCTGGGTGTAGCCGCAGTCATCACACCGGTATGTGCAGGAGCAGCGAGATCCCAGGGTAGGAGGTTGGGTAGGGAATCCAGAGAGCACTTACTCTTCCTTGTGAGCAGGTGTGTTCATCCTGTTAACTTTGTTACCTGCGTGGTTTCCTGATTCCTTTGCTGTGGAGGCGTATTTTGGGCTCCTCTGGGATAAGGTTAGGTGTGGTGGTGGTGAGTGGAGTACACATTGCTGATGCCTTCAAAAATGGTGTGGCCCAGGTGGCTTTTCTGACTTGCCATAAAGCAGTGATGGAGAACCTTTTAAAGACCAAGTGCCCAAACTGCTAGTGATGTCATCGCCAGGACTGCTACTGCTTCCCAAGCATGTGCAAGGCCCCTCTGTGTGCTGTTACCTGATGCTCAGCTGCTGGAACCACGCTGGGGTGAGCTGGCTCATGTGCCAACAGGGAGGGCTCTGCGTGCCTGCTGCGGCACATGTGCCATAGCTTCTTCAGCACTACCATAAAGTCTTCTTCCTGGCATTTTCTAGTATCTCTGGAAAGATTGTCTGGCATTTACCATTTTTAAGAAGATTTAAGATAGCAGACATTTTTAAGTGTACATAGTTTGGGAAAAGTTGTTTCTATTATTATCACTAGCAGACCAGGGCTCGGGATTTAGCTCAGTGGCACTGCACTTGCCTCGAAACCACAAGGTCCTGAGTTCGATCCCCGGTACCAAAAAAAAAAAAAATAGCGGCCCATGTGTGTACCCACCAGCAGGTCAGGCCAGGTTCTGGAGGTCACAAGGCTAAGAATATGAGGCTGTGTCTGCCTGGATGGGCCTGCAGTACACTTGAGGGACACCAGCTTTCTCTCAGGGAGCAGCCCCTCTTGGATCCCTTTACCAGCTCCCACATTAACTACTCTTCGGGATCTGCCAGCTGGCCCAAGACTGCTGTCCCTCCCTGCTGGGCACAGGCACAGGTAGAGTTCTCCTTAGTGTCCACACTGACTGGCTTTGACCCAAGGCTCACTTGGCCTCTGGCAAGTTCTTTGTCAGTTTCCCCAAAAGTAATAGTAATAACCTCAAGAGATGTGATAAAGATTTAGTTAAAGTGCTTAGAATAATACCTAACATAGAATAAGCACTATACAAGTATTTGTCAAAATAAAATAAAATACAGTTACCATAGCTATGTAGATGTCTATAGCTATCTGTATAAAGAGGAAAATGAATCATTTACTGTTTTCAAAATCACCATGGCTAATATTTTCTCCCAAGGGCTTCCACCAAACCCACACTGCCGCCTGTGTTTGTAAGTACAGTTTAGTTGGGAGATGCCACATCTGCTTGTGTGCGTATTATCTTTGATGGGTTTCAGGATACGACTTCAGAGTTAAGTTAGTTGTGACAGGAACTATACATTTCACAAAACCTAGAATTCTTACCACCTGGCCCTTTACAGGAAAAACAGGTCCATATAGTTTTGTCCTGTGTTAAACTCACATTTCCTGTCTTTATGAGCACCTTTACCTCCCGAGTCCCTCAAGTCAGTGAGGGTCAGGTGCTCTGGGCGCTCACCTAGGCAGCTGGAGATCAGGTTTGCCAGGAATTGTGCACTGGAATCTGCTGCTTCCCTGTGGAAGAGTGAGGTCCTTCCTCTAACACCTATCCTCTGCTCTTTGATCCCAGTGGAATTTCCCCAGCGCCATGATCACCCGGAAAGTGGGGGCCGCCCTGGCAGCCGGCTGCACGGTGGTGGTGAAACCTGCTGAGGACACGCCCTTCTCTGCCCTGGCCCTGGCCCAGGTGAGCCTCTCCCTGGGACTCCACAGAGCCAGCCAGCCAAGTCCAACAGTGGGTTTTCCTCTGGGACACAACAAAGCAGTTTTGCAGCTTCCTTCTTTGCCTGAATCTGCTGCAACATGGCATGTTTTAATCTGCTGAGAATTATTTTAAGTCAGGAGTTGCTCTTCCTAGAAAAAAAATAGATGGGAGACTTTCTGATGCCTGCAGGCCATGTATTTTTTAGTCTACTGTAAAAAGGCTATCTATCCATTGTCTTCATTAAATAGGCACTAAAACGCTGGTGCTTCTCACATTTGGGTTCTCTGTCCTTCCTGCACTTGCTGCAGTTCAGCCTGTATCCAGGCAAATGTTATTCTGCTTAAAACCCAGCCTTCCTACAGTGGCCGCCGAGCCCTAGATGTTCCCTCCAAGCCCGATGTGGTAGTGCATTCCTGTAATTCAGCACTCTGGGAGGCTGAGGCAGGAGAATCACAAGTTCTAGCCCAGCCTGGGCAACTTAGTGACTTAGTGAGACCCTCTCTTAAAATTTAAAAATTTATAAAAAGGCTGGGGATGTAAGTCAGTATGAAGACTTTGGGTTCGATTTCTGGTACCACAGTGATGCCCCTCCCAACCTTTGGTGCCCTCTGCCCTTGTCTGTCACCCAGGAGTGTCTCATCATCTCAGGCCACTCTGGCCCTGCACCATGGGTCACCCCCAGCCTTGAGCATTGTCCCCACATACACCCATGACTTGCTGCTTCCTGTCTGTATGTTTTATGGAAAACTCACAGAGGTGGCATGAGGATTTCTCATGTACACACCCAGCTTCCCTCATTACCAGTGAAGGAGTTAGGAGGTGCCACCTCAGACAGTGTCAAATTGGCATATTCATTACTTCAAGCAGAGATCACTTGAGGAATGATAACTTCAGAAAGGCCCATCTGGGCTGGCTACAGTGGTACACGCCTGGAACCCCTGCTACTCGGAGGCTGAGGGATGAGGACTGCACGATCAAGGGTGGACTGGACAGCTTAGCGAGACCCTGTCTCAAAGAATAAAAAGGGCTGGGGATGTAGCTCAGTGCAAGGTTCTTGGGCTCAATCCCCAGTACTGAAAAAAAAAAATCCCTGGCTCTGTCCCCTTCCTCAAGTCTCCTTTGAGCTTCCATGTGCTGTTCACAGCAGGCATCTGGATGCTTCCCTGAGTGCTGGGGCTGGCAGCTGCTAGAGATCCCTTGCCACTAAGTCTTGTCATAAATATTTCCTGTAACTGTCTCACTGTAAATGCCATCGATACTTTGGTCTTGCTACCCAGTTTCTGTCTTTGTGAGAAGATTTAGGGAAATTCAGAAACTCTGCTTCTACTACCATCTTCTCAGAATCCCAGTCAGCTTTATATAATAAGTTAATGTTCATGGTATTCAGAAATTCAAATAATCCAGGACACGTCTTATCTGAAGAGAGAGTGCAGTTCATCAGCAGGCTGCCTTGAGCAGCAGCTGCCCCTCTGGCACCCTCGGGAGGCCTTGGCTGGGCTCTTCTCCTCTCTCCCTCCCTTTCCTCATTTCCAGCTGGGCATGGTGGTGCAAGCCTGTAATCCCAGCACTTTCGAGGCTGAGGCAGGAGGATCACTATGAGTTCGAAGCTAGACCCTGTCTTAAAAAACAAAACAAGGGCCAGGGATTTAGCTGCACCTGCTTCACAAGCGCAAGGTCCTGAGTTCGATCCCCAGTATAAAAAAAAATAAAAATAAAAATAAAACAAAGCAAAACTAAAACACATACACATATACACAAATCTTCCCTAATCTCTGCCCTGGGAGATGGACTCAGAAGCACTTTGCTTGTGGCCCTGCACTGATAGCTTCGCTCTAAACACCTTTCCACCCTCCTGCTAGAGAATCACCACCTTTTTGTGTGAATGCCCCTCTGCATTTTCTTGGGGAAAAAATCTAAAGTTGTTTGACTACCAAGTAACAGCAAAAGTTATATCCCAGGGGCCAGGGATTTAGCTCAATGGTTCCACTGCCTGCCTCGAAAGCACAAGGACCCAAGTTTGATCCCTGGTACCAAAAAAAAAATTTATATCCCAAGAAGTGTATTTTAATGATGTTTAATAGTAATATTAATATCACTTTAGCACTAAAAATCATATTTCAGTTTCAAATACATATGATATAGGAATATAGGGCCGAGGATTTAGCACAGTGGTTTCGCCGCCTGCTGTGCAAGCAAGGACACGAGTTCGATCCCTGTTACCAAAAAAACCCAAAAACATGTGATATAGGAATATAGAAATGTGTAATTAGATATTGTGCATAGACCTTGGTATGTACTTGTGCTGGGAATTGAACCCAGGGCCTCGCTCATGCGAAGCCCATGTTCCACCTCTGAGTTACCCCTCAAGCCCAGGTGTGTTTTTACTCCACACACATGCTTGCTTCAGCAGCACAGACCCTACAGATGGGAAAGATATTGTGAGCCCAAGGTCAGCTTCATTTTCTTTCCATTAATTTGTGGATCACACATCTACGCATTTCAGTTTTCTGCTTCTCTCTGTCTAATGACGTTTGCTGGCTGTTTCCCTCTGCAGCTCTCGAACCAGGCAGGCATCCCTTCCGGAGTGTACAACGTCATCCCCTGCTCCAGAACCAAGGCCAAGGAGGTTGGGGAGGTGCTTTGTACTGATCCTCTCGTCTCCAAAATCTCCTTCACAGGCTCAACAGCCACAGGAAAGGTATGTGGTAGGTCTCAGAGAAGATAAGATCATTCTGGTTGCTTCCTTCCTTCCTTTCTTCCTTTTTTGGTTTTTTGAGACTGGGTCTCACTGTGTAGTCCAGGCTGGCCTTGAACTTTCGGTGATGCTCCTGCCTCAGCCTGCAAGCACTGGGATTACAGGCGTGTGCCGTCACGCCTGGCTTTCTTTTCTATAGAGTATAAAAATACTATTTTATTTTCATCGTAGTTTTTAGCAAGATTTCTAGCAGAGCATTAAAGCTTTACCAACAGTGTCTGCTCATCCTCTGGCGATATTTGGGACTGTGATCCATGCTGTGACACGACTTGGCCTTCGAGGTGACAGTACCAGAGCTATAAGGGTCCCATTGTTTTGCTTAATGTCAAGCAACTGAACACTATTCATTGGATTTCTTCAATTCCAGATTGCACATTTCTTTCACAGTCTAGAATTAAAGATTCCAGAAACTCCCCAATGATGCTGAAATGGGTGCTTTGGAAATGAACAAAAATTATATTTAGTATAAAGGTACTTACAGAAATGGAAAGATCTTTTTCTTATTAGTTGTGTTTTTTTTCTTCAGTGCTAAGTCCATTCTTTAAAACTTCATATGTGTCCCTGGGAGTAGATTTTTATTGATCCTTTTAAGTGTTCAAAAAAGAAAAAGTCAGGGTGAACTAGAAGTTCTCATTTACAAAGTTTCCAGGTAATATACCCTTTGCTACTACATGTATGTGTACATATACATATGTACATGTGTGTACATACTCATGTTAGACATATGCAAAAAACAGTGGGCCAAATAGAAATGAAATCTGAAAGTTTTTGTGAAAGTGGTCATTTTTAGAAAGTGTGAAAAGCAGGAAGGAATAATGCAGCTATCATATAATTCCCAAGCAGTTACTTTTGTCATGCCATATGGTCCCACTCAGCAGCCCTTTATTTATTTATTTATTTATTTTTATTTTTTGGTACTGGGGATCGAACTCGGGTCCTTGCGCTTGCAAGGTAGGCAACAGAACCACTGAGCTAAATCTCCAGCCCCAAGCAGCCCTTTAAATTCCTTCCACTCACTCATCCCATCTACTGCCCAGTAATTTTATCTACCATCCATTCATCCCATCTACTGGCCACCCATCTCAAAGCAGGGATGTTTATGTCCATAAACTGCCGTGCTCCCGGTCGCTGGATCTGGCCATGAAGACTTACTCTTAGAAGGCTTCAGGTGTTGCTGTGAAGTCACGAGAGAAAGGACGGGGAGAAGGCCATGACACCCATGCTGTTCAAGCCAGGGAGATCCCAGAGTGTTGGGCACAGGGCAGTGACCCCTCTTCTGTCGTTTCACAGTTTCCTCAGCAAACTGTCAGCAGCTGTCTGATCTCCAGGAAAGTGTCAATTGTGTTCCCGCCAATCTGGCTTTGCTTCTCTTTACCTAGGGCAGTGATTTGCTCCAGTGACTTAAAGGGAACAGCGATAAGTAGAGCAAAAATAATCTGGGCTGGATGTGTAGAGTATGAGCTTAGGATGGGCAAGACCTCAGGTTCAGCTGTCAGCAATAAAATGATAATAACAACCATGACCACAGCAACAAGCGAACTCTGTGTCAGGGGCCTCTTCTGAGCCAGGGGAGAATCCAGAGGATCTGCGGCGGAGCTCCTGGTCCTCGGCACAGACTCTCACTTCTTAGATGAAGCACACACAGGGCAGTGTTCTGGGGACACCCTGCCCTCATCCCCTGCTGGGGCTGCCCCCTTCCCAGAGCCTTGTGGAGCACGGTACAGCTCATGACACCTGATCTCTCCTGTGAGTGTCACCTGAGAAAAATGGCATCCACAGGCTGACAATGATCGAGGACAGTGGCCTGGCAGAGACAGGGAGCTAGGCCAGTCGCGGTCAGTCCTGGGACGCTGAGTGCTGACGTCAGCTGTGGGAACCAGAGCTGAAAGGACTAGGAAGGGACAGTGTTGTTGCAGCTCCAGGGCTCATGGCAGCCAGGCTGGGCCATCTGGGGAGAAGCTGGAATGACTCAGTGGTGACCCTACAGTGAGAACCATCTTCACACTGGAGTGAATTCTGAAGAGTCAACAGCCTGGCAGATAGCACTTAAAAACTTTAAATGAAAATAGTTGTGTTGAGTCTAACAAATATGTTTAAGCCAAGCATGGTGGCACATGCCTGTAATCCCAGCACTTGGGAGGCTGAAGTAGGATTGCCACAAGTTCAAGGCTAGCTTGGGCTACATAGCAAGATTCTGCCTTTAAAAAAAAGTGGTGGTGGGGGGAACAAGGTGTAAAGTGTTATGAACATGTTAAGATGTTCCAGATAAATGGCTAAAGGGGAAGGTAAAGCAGGTAACAAAGCTCTATGATTATACCCCACTGTTTTCTTTTTTAAAAAAGAAAAAATATGTTTACATGATGCTGCATTCTGAAATGCTGTTAGTGGCAAACCATAGCTTGTGGGATTCTGGGTGATTTTTAAAGTCGTATTTCTATATTATCATGTTTAAACCTATCTCATATATTTTAATCCATGGTTCAAAACTCAAGGCAGTGTTAGCGTTTACCTTGAGAAATCCCACCCTGTTCCTATTACATCTTCTCTTGTTCTTTTCTATGAGCAATTATTTTTACTTTCTTATTATCTTCCCAGTGTTTTTATCACATGTACACAAATATGAGTGCACACTTTTATCTCTCCTTTTCCTGTGCACACTAATACCCCATACACACTGTGCGCCTTGCTGCTTTCATTACTGGGTGACGCTCCCGGCAGAGGCTTCGTAGCCCTGGTTGCTGGGTTTGTGCGCACGCATTTGCATTCTCCCCACTGCCTGCAGGTCCTGTTGCACCACGCAGCCAGTACAGTGAAGAGGGTCTCCATGGAGCTGGGTGGCCTTGCCCCGTTCATAGTTTTCGACAGTGCCAACGTGGATCAGGCTGTGGCAGGAGCCATGGCATCTAAATTTAGGAATGCTGGTCAGGTGAGTTAAATAAAATCTCCAGTTTTGGCGGGGGGGCGGGGCGTGTAGAGATGTGGGCTTAGCAAAGATCACACCAGTACCACCTCCGGTGCCTACTCATCTCCTATGGGCCTTCCGCTGCTGGTTAGCTGAGGGTTCTTTCTCTTGGCTGGAGTGGAAATCACCTTGAGTGCCAGCGGCTCTCGGCCCTTGGTGCTATGATCTGGGCTCTGCACATCTATAGCCCTCAGCATTTCTAGCCTCCAGCCCTCAGTGTTAACAGCTCTGGGCTCTACACCTCTGGTCAGCTCCTCAGTAGCCAAGGCTCTGCCCTGAACCATCTGGAGCTCTTTTTAGCAGCTTCTGCTGGACTCTGGAGCTCATAGCTCTTTTTGAAAGCAATCTGCTCTGCCTCCTGTCACATTACCAAGGAATTTTCAGGACTACCAGAACAAGGCTTTATTTGAACAGAGCCTGTGCAATACATGCACAGAGAAGGCCCTCATAGGTTAACTAGAGGAGTGCTAGAGGAGTGCTGCTTTTGTAAAGCAACAGCAGCCCTGTGATTGGTCCAAATTCAAGCCAGCCAAATTTGGTCCAAATTTGAGCCTGCTGATTGGCCTGAATTCAAGCTTGCTGATTCAAACCTGACTGATTCAAGTTCGAGCCTACTATGGTCAGGGCAGACATCTCCCTGGACTTGTGCAGGACAGCCAGGACAGCTGCAGCTGTCGCTGTCAGCCAAAGCACGCCCCCTTCTGGCTGTCAGGTAAAAAAGGGAAGGGTTGGGTTGACTGTGTATGGTCTATCTCACTTCCATCCTAGTTCATTCATTCTTTCAGTGAGCTTTTATTGATCCCTTTTGATTTTACTAGGGACTGTGCGAGGCTTGGGTAGACCACAGGGAAGTAAGGCGTCGTCTCTAGCTTCAGAGGGTTTCCCGAATTGCAGATGTCTTTCAATCAAACAGTCCTCTCTTCTTTCTTCTCTTTCTACGCTTTGAATCTGGTTGTTTCCATGGATCTCCCTTACTGGGCTTTTCACTGCTGAATGGATGTAGTCATCTCCTCAGACACAAAAGAGTCTTCAGCAGTGAAAGTCTGAGGTCCTCTGTCTTGAGGAAAAGGAAGATAGGAAAATTTCTTCCTAAGCTTCTTAGGAAGTAGTCTTTAGCTGTGGCCTTAATGTACCATCAATTTCAGGAAACAGAATAAATACACCTAAAAGGTCCTGTTATTAAAAGGTGAAATGTTTCATTCTATTTTGTGTTAGTTTTCTTTGGTTTGGCCTTTGGTAATTAATTTTTCCCATTTCACATAACTTTAATAGACTTGATTCTTTTAGAAATAGATATGCTTTCCTTTACAAATACAAATGCCAATGTGTGTAATCTTCAGGGTTAAGCCATAAGCTTACAACTTTGGGGCGGGTTTCTTTATGCCAGTAAACATCCATAGTATGTGAAATATATGTATACTTTTTTCTGCTAGGCTAATACATGATGAAGAAAAAAGATTAAAAAATTGATCAGTGATTACTATGTTTCTTTTAGTTATATTTTATAACTTAAAATAATAGGTCTGATCTGATCAGAAAAAAATAAGCAAGAGTTTTTTCAGTAATTTAGGCTAACATGGAAGAAGGGCCTTAGGTCCATTTTTTAAATGACAGATTCAGTCTAACACTTGGAAAGATGCATCTAGAAAGTATAAGTTAGCATTTGACCCCATTCTTTGTAGCCTCTGCGGTCACTGCCAAATTGCTATCTCTCCAGAGGGTTATGGCCCCTTTTTCCTATTTGTTTTATAATAGTTTATTCAAGCCACTTAATAACTTGGGGTGAGTGGCCATGAGTCTTATTTTACACAGAGATATTTATACTTGCTCACATGTTCGACTATACATGTGTAGCAGCTAGGGAGGGAGGCAGAGAGGAAGCTCAATTATCTTTGGGCCAGTATCTTTGTGTTTTCCCAGCAGGGAGGCAGCTGTGTCACGTTTCCTTGTTGGACCCATAGCTCCCGACAAACTGACTGTGTGGGTTTGTTTCTGTCTCCTGTCCAGACTTGTGTTTGTGCAAACCGATTCTTGGTGCAAAAGGGTATCCACGATTCCTTTGTAAAAAAATTTGCTGAAGCAATTCAGAAAAGCCTGCGTATAGGGAGTGGATTTGAAGAGGGAACTACTCAAGGCCCATTAATTAATGAAAAAGCAGTAGAAAAGGTAAGTTCATTTTATTATCTCTGAAAGTAAACTGTATGGTTTCAAAATGAAAAGCTTAACTGAGCAAAAACACTTTGGTAAGGTGCTCAGCAAAATTATTTTGGAAACAGTGGAGAAATTTGAAAAAATAAAAAAAGAGAGGATTTCTACCAGTTTGTATGATCAGGTGGCACTGCCGTAACATAAGCTTCTCTAACTCTGTCATTGCACTGAGACTTTATGATATCTGTCACTTTGGGTCTTCTGCCTCCTGCCTCAGTCTTCCATCATAGTGGCTGTAATTCTTCCTTTGATGACAGACATCTATTCTGGGAGGATCCCTGAGGAAAGCACTCCAGCAGGGAAACAGAGACTCATGGGTACCATGTTCAGGATTTAGACATGCAAAATGAAACCACTTTTAGGAAGGATTTGTGTGATGAAAAATGACACAAGCTAGACTACGAGTGAGGTGAGATTTCTTCATTGTACTGTTTTTTGTTTTTTGTTTTTTCCAAAAATCCTTTTTAGAGTCACAGAAAACTTTCTTATAATACCAAATATCCAATATGTCCAATATGTTGCCTAGATAAGGATTTTAACAGAATCTTTTAAGGCAGGCAAATATGGCAGCTGGAGATGGGATGTAGGGAAGAAGAGAGTAAGGAGGTAGGTGACGAGTGATGCTCACCAGCTCTAAACAAACCAAGATCAAGGAGAGCCGAGACAGTGCTCACAGGGGTGACACAGCCCACACTCTGGTCCTCAGCCTCCTGAGAGCCAGAGGGCCAACCTCAGACCCATGACCACCCCGACCCAGTGGGCAGTCACTTCCGCCAAACCCATATCCATTGCTTTCCCCCAGGGAGGCATGGAGGTTTGACGAGCTCTGGCAAGTGTCTGGTGATTACCTTGGTATTACTCTCAAAACAGAAAATGCATTGAAGCTCACACAGTACCACTTGCATCTTAGAGGTGACTTTGGGCCCCGGGACACACTGGGGTGCTTGCTTGTCTTGTGATCGTGGTCTGAGTTCAAGTCCCAAATGGGAATTCTCAACCCCCCCTGTGATTTTCACAGCTATGATGCTTGTCCCAAGTTGGGCCCAGCCTTGTTTTGTTTTGTTGGTAGTGCTGGAGAATGAAACCCAGAGCCTCACACAGGTAAGTATCACTGAGCCACACCCCAGCCCAGCCTTAGCATTTTTAAGTGCCCAGATGATGCTAATTTGCAGCCAGTCTGGGAGCTGTATTGGAGATTTTTTTCCCTAAGTGGATATGTAGGTATTGCCCTCTAAATGGCGCTGCATACTAAAACTTGAAATAAGCACCACTGCCTCTGTTTTGGTGGAGTTTGATAAAAATAACCTTGTTTAAGGACACAGTTTAAAGCTCGGGATGTCCTCAGTGGTAGAGCACTTGCCTAGCATGCATGAGGGCCTGGGTTTGATCCTCAAAAACAAAAACCAAAAATAAAAACAATCTGTGGGGTTGGCACTAATGTCCACACTGCTACAGAGGGGCCCTAGGGAAAAAATACTGCACACTTCATTTAATACAGAGAGGGGCAGGTTCTTAGGGGCAAGGAAGTGGGATAATGTTAAATAAGGTATAAATAGATTTTTAAAACACAAATCACAGAAGGCCATCCTGGCTAATGGGAATTTGTTGCAGGCAATGGGATTTTTTTAGATTCAAAGCATGTGAGTCTTGATGGCAGAATGTGCCCAGGCCTGTAGTTATGTCTCTTCTGGAACACTATAGAAAATTCAGCTGACAATGGAGGGGAGGACTGCAGTGCACAGAGTGTGTGATGAATTTCTGCAGGGAGGAGGGGGCTGTGTTAAGAGAAAAATCAAAGCAGGTGGTCCTGTCTGGGGCAGCTGCAGAGGCCATCGGAGCCTACCTAGAGCAGGCTGTGCAGGGAGTGGGAAGTGGAAGAAGGGAGACCCAGAGCTGGTTGATTATACTCTTGCACCGTTTTCTGGGTCATTCCCACACCAGCCCTCTCACCCCCAGTACCTACAGGCCAGCAGAGGCATTTGTCCCTGGCATAGCCGTTCTTCTAAAGCAATAGAGTAGCTGACCAGGAGTGCTGCTCTTCAGGAGCAATGCCTTTCTGGCTGTGCCCTTTAGGGGAAGGGGCCACCCTGTGGGATGCTTCCAAGTCAGAATAAACCCAAGTTCACAGCAAAGGCCACCATGGTCCTGATGCCTAAAAGCCATTGGCATGGAAGAGCAAAGGTTGCTGGAGGAAACAGAGCGGACCCTGAAGGAAGCAGACAGCTGGGCAACAGAAAGGACATCTCTAAGAATCCCTATCACCATCCAGGAGTTCTGAGGAGATAGTATCCCTGTAAAAAAAGCACAGTCTGTAAAAGTAAAGCCATGAAAGCAAGACACAGTCTGTAGAAATTGAATGCACAACTGTCTAAAACATCAGAAGCTGAAGATAGAAGATAAAATTAGGGAGAACTCATGGAATAAAACAAAGCATAGAGAAAGAATGTGGTAGAGCTTTTTGAAATTAGAGTTACAGACACACCTTGTTTAATGACCAAGCTTTGTTCCTGCAACTTAGGTCATTAAATGAGCTGGTTGCTAAATGAGGAATTGTATTGAGTATATACATCACAATATTCAGAACCAAGAAATGGTTAAACTCCAGTTTGATGACTTTGCTTTGATTTGCATAACTCTTACATGTAGTACTATAATGTATAACAGAACATAAAACTACAGTAGTGTACTGTACAGTATAATCAGCAAAAATGACAGTAATGTACTGTATAAGAAGCCACCATCCATAAGGCATACTGTTCACATTCCTGCGTGCTAAGTCTGAGTGCTGGCTGTAAGTCCGAACAGCACACCTTGGTCGTAAGTCCAAACAGTCGTTAAAACCAGAAATATCTAAATGGAGGTGAGGGAAGCGATCCCTCAGTATGAGGAGCTGTAGAATGAAAGAATTGAGAAGATGGAGGAAATGTCATTTATCTAATAAATAATTGGTAAAACTCAGAGCTATGGGAAAATAACTTCATTCTTTAGATCAAAAGATTTCACCAAATATCTACTGACAAGAATGAAAAGCAAATGGGCTATAACACTCATGTCAGTGTGCAATAGACTAGATATACTCGGTGATGTCCACTGGATGACAGAATCAGCTAAGGACACACTCTGGGAACAGAGTGTTTGACCTCCATCTTGAAGCAGTGCAGGACCATACTGAGGAGAATGGATCAGAAGAAAACAAAAGCACAGTTCAAGAAAGAGGACAACACGGGAGCCACCTGGTTCCACACTACAAAGATACAGAGGACACCAGACCACAAGACCACAGTACTGAGTCCTGCTGCTCCCGGCCCAGAGGTAGGGGCTTCTGAGCCGCTGTCCCACTGCTCCTGGTCGAGAGGAAGGGGCTTCCTGGCCACCATCCCTCCCACTGCTCCCAGCCCACAGGAAAGGGCTTTTGGGCCACCATCCCTACCGCTACTCCCAGCCCCTGTCCCACCTCTCCCAGCTCAGAGGAGGTAATCCGTGCAGGCAATAACAGCCCCCCGCCCCAGTTGAAATGAGAAAACATGTAAATAAGTCTCAAAACCAGACTTCCAGATCACCTACAGCAACCCCAAAGGGAAATGAAATGGAACA